GCCCAGAATGGATTCGAACCCACCACCTTAGGTGTATGTGGCTGGCGCCTTAGCCGCTTGAGCCACAGGCGCCAAGCCTTTCCTTTGAACTTTTAGAAAGAATCTTCAAAGTGTCATCTAGTCTAACCACTCCTCATTTGGTATAAATTTTCTATAGCAGAAATCTCTCTTCCAACCATTCATAACATATACCACTACCACCTGATCTGACAAAGAACCTAGATACTATTAATTACTCATTGCACCAAACTTACACCCCTAAATTATGTCTTCTCATTGTCCACATATTCTTGGCACCCCTTTATGAAACCTATTTTATTTCTGACTCCCAACACTCAGAAGCAGAAACTGATGACATCCCTGCCCCTGGCTTCTCCCCAACTTCCAAAACTTACCTGTTTGTTGTGATGCATGATGCCCAAGGTAGGGAACACCCAGGTACTGGCTGGGGGCACAATGTCGCTATCAGCAAAGCTCACCCACTGTACCACCTGGGCTGCTGCCTCTGGAGTACTCCCCCGTAGCTCCTCATTGCTCACTGCAGGGGTAGAACACAAAGGTCATAACGCTGGGGTTATACCAATATAAGTTCTAGTCACCAAGAATTCTTCCTTGTCCACTCCAGCTCACCCTCATCCTCTCCTACACCCCTCCCCTCCAGACTCTCCCATTCCCATATATCCCTGCAAATTACCATAGTAGGCAATGGCATTGCTCTCAAACACACAGAATCCATCATCACCCTCAAATGCTGGAACCTGGGGACAAAGTAGTGAAAAGATAAAGTAAAACACACAAGGATCTCTCACTAGCCAATCCCAGGAACTTAACTGCTGTGAATAAAAATGTTCACATAAGGTTGACAACCTTACTATGCAAAGTCTTGATACTACCTGAAACCAAAAATACTTCAATGACTTAGCATCCCTTGTGATCTGAATTTACAATATCTGAACTAGGAAACCAAAAAGATGCAGGTATTATGTGATATTCATATAAAATCCCTCAATTATAAGCAGGAAGCCAGAAACCAAGCCCTATAAGCCCCCTGAAGTTAAGAAAGCCTGCTCATAATAGATACTTGATATATCTATACTAAAACATTTGGTAAAAACCCATTCTCTTCACCACAATTACAAGTACGCCTGTAAATTTTACAAAGTCACTGACTGAATAGTTCTGTATTATCTATTACAACTACATGTGACTCTACAATTAACTCGAAATAAAAATATTTTAAGTTAAGTCACTGAAATTATAAAGGAAAACAACATGGAAAGACCCTTTATTTTGGAGGTGACCACTTTTTAAGGACAGAAGCCATCTCCAGAGTTATGAAATCCTAGGACCCCTCTCCACTTCACAACTCACCTTGCCGGCAGGAAATTTACGAAGAAATTCAGGGGTGCGGTTGGTTTGCCCAAAGTGGAAGTGGGGTGGTGCGGAGAGCACGCGGACCTGAGCCCCGCTGTACTGAGCAGCAATGAGGGCCTTGAAGGCCCTCCAGTTTTCAGGATATGTGTACAGGGTCTATGCCAGAAAAGGAGAAAATGTATGTGAATAGAAGGGTCTCAGTCCTAAATGCCACCCACCCAGATGACTTCCTGAGTAATCCCCATCTGTTCAACTCAGTCCCTCTTGTGAACCAAGTTCTTTAGTATCTGTCATGTCATCAGTCTTCTGAAATACCAAGAATATCAAGAACAGAACTACACACCAACTGCTAAATAAAGCTTGTTGACAATTTGACCTTCCCTAAGGACATCTCTAGAAGAATTCTCTTTCCCTCACATACATCTCCAAGAAATCTAGAACTTGTAGCTTCATCAGACGCCATCTGCCTACAAACACACACCCCTCCCTTCCTGGAGCCCTTGTTTCATTCATTGACGGTTACTGAGTGCTTCCTACTCTACTGCTAAGCTGCTCACCGCTTCAAGTATCACCCTGTATAAAACGTACCCAAGGACCAAGAGGTTTCTAAGTTCCCCTGGAATAGCCAGAGATATCGAATGACATATCCTATTCCAAAATCAACTCCTCTCCCTAAAAATCCCTTTCTTGTCGCACATTCCATCCCTCCAGTTCTGTCCCGCAGCGAGTTCCCTGGTGCTCTCTTCTCTATTAACTTGGCCAGCGAAGTTCCACCAGTTTGACCTCACTGTCCGGGGAATCCTATCGCTCCCAAACCTCCCTGGGAGACGACCCTTAACCATGCCAGCCGTACCTGCCCACAAAGACCCTCTTCTTCACCCTGTCTCCTGTTGTCCCATAAAACGGTGACAGAAGTTCCGTCAACCTGGCCAGATCGCACGTCTCAAAGCGGCAACGAAGCCAAACCCCTTTTTGAGGCTTCGGACGACCCAGACAAGGCATCTCTTTTCTCCTCTACCCCAGACCATTCCACCTCTGGCCTCTGAAAGTCACAGCCTCAGTTCTTCTCCAGGCCCTAGGAACTCTGCTCTCCATTGTATGGTCTGTAGGACCCAGAAAAGTTCCCCATTTGACTCCAGAACTCCTCTGGCGCCGACTAGCCCCATTTGGGCAAAGGATGGCGCTGGATAGGGCGATCCAGACCATCAGAGCCGGCAAACTCACCCCAGCCGCCATGGTGATTCCGCAGAGAAAGGGGGTGGGGTTCTCGGCGCTGCCGCAAAGTAAACCGTCTGGGAGAGAAGGGAGGGGGGAAGGGGAGAGCCGTGGAGAAACAGCAGCCGGAAAGCGAGGACGACATAGAAGACATACGCACGACAGTTCAGTATCCCGCGGCGCTGAATTAGAAAAAGAACAGGGCGGGGCTTCCTGGCCGTCGCGGAGAAAGCTCGCGCCTGCGCAATGGGGTTCTGGGCTGGCCCGCCCCCTTAGGCATAGCGGGCTAATCAGAGTCCCAACGCGGAGGGAGTGGAAACTGTGAGAACCAGCTGGAACAGCCGCTCCTGCGCGGCTACGTGGCACAGCGACCTGCCCAGCGCAGCTGGCCTCCTGGAGGGTTACCCCTCCGGCCTGCCCAGGGACAAGTGATCCCTTGTTAGTTCTGCCAAGCCCCTCACATGATTGTGTGAAACTCGCAGGAGCGGGAAATAGCTGCTACACCCAGATGGCAGTTTGCTAAATTCCTTTTGTTTCTGGTCTGGTTTTCTTGTAGAGAGGGACGTGTATCTAACAGGGGGCCAAGTATAAAACGAAACCCCTGCAAAAGTGGTTTGCTCACATTAAACCACTTTGCAAGAGAGGACACTAAGGGCTCGGCGCCTATAGCTCAAGCAGTGAAGGCACCAGCCACAAACACCAGAGCTGGCAGGTTCGAATCCAGCCCTGGCGTGCCAAACAACTACAACTCCTCCCGCCCCCTGCCCTGAAAAAAAAAAAATAGCCGGACGTTGTGTCAGGCGCCTGTAGTCCCAACAAAAGGACACTAGGGCCCGGCGCTGTGACTCAGGCCAACAATCCTAGCACTCTGGGAGGCCAAGGCAGGTGGATTGCCTGAGCTAATAGGGTTGAGACCAGCCTGAGCCAGAGCAAGACCTCAGCTCTAAAAATAGACAGGCGTTGTGGAGAGCGCTTGTAGTCCCAGCTACTTGGGAGGCTAAGGCAAGAGAATCGCTTGAGCCCAACAGTTTGAAGTTGCTGTGAGCTGTGATGCCAATGCACTCTACTGGGGGTGACAAAGTGTGACTGTCTCAAAAAAAAAAAAAGATACCAGACCTTTGAGCTGAAATGGGAAGGGACACCTGTCAGGAAGCTGGACTATTCCCTTAAGGGGCTGACAATGTAGGAACTGACATCAGTTCTGATGTTCGTGATTTTTTACCCATGTCCAAGTTTGAAAACCTCTTACCCAATTTAAGGGCAGGATGAACAACCCTCAACCCAAATTTCTATCCCTGTCACCATCCGTAGATCTGCAGCAGCAGGATAAATGTGGAGGAAAACTTGTTTTTTTCCCAAAGCACTGCTCAATCCACCCACCATACTATCTTTCAGGAACTATGCCCGTGTGCCAGGTACAGGCTAGGCCTATGCACTCCCTGCAAGGCATGCTAAGTGGTAGGAAGCAATAGACTGCTGAGGTGGAGGATGACAGGTATAAGTCCATTTTAGGGGTAAGACAAGGTATGTCCAAGAAAGGTGCATTAAGATCTTGGGGGCAGGCTGGGCACCTTTGGCTCAAGCGGCTAAGGCGCCAGCCACATACACCTGAACTGGCGGGTTTGAATCCAGCCCGGGCCCGCGGAAACAACAAAGATGGCTGTAACCAAAAAATAGCTGGGTGTTGTGGCGGGCGCCTGTAGTTCCAGCTACTTGGGAGGCTGAGACAAGAGAATCGCTTGAGCCCAAGAGTTTGAGGTTGCAGTGAGCTGTGATGCCACGGTACTCTACCCAAGGCAGCAGCTTGAGACCAAAAGAAAAAAAAAGATCTTGGGGGAATGGAATGGAAGAAGTACTGGGTGGAAGGATTATGATTATTATTACCAGGTGGAAATTAGAGAAAACTGGAAGTGTTTATATTAAAATAGCAGCTTTATTGCCCTTTAGGGTCCATGACTTCACTTGAGGAGATTTCGAAATGCTTGAGGGAGAAAAACCTGTAAGAAATGATGTAGATCAGGAAACAGGCCTTGGGTATCCTGGAGTGGGGTCACAGTGAGTGTCTGGTCAGCCTGGGAAGCAGACACCACAAAGGTCAGGAGGGGCTCAGTCTCTGGCCTCTGTTCACTATTCAGTCCTCTAAGCTCCTGGGTTACCCGAGCCTCAGTTGCTAGCCACTCTGCTCCTGTGCCAGCCCCGCTTTCCTTGGTTCGCTGCTGCAAGCGTCTCCGGGCACGCCGCCGTCCAAGCCACACTTGGTGCCATAAGGAGCAGCGCCAGCTCACTGAAGAGAGTGATGCCTCCTTCACTGTCTTACCCTTAGACCCTCCTTGGGCTGCCTCAAGTCCCTTGGGGCCCTGCTCTGCCAGTTCAGCAGCTAGATACTTTCTGGTCATCAGGGGTGGCTCCCCCGACTGCCCAGGGCTCTGCATAGCCCAGTCTTGCACCATCTCTCCAACCTCTATAACCATTTCTTCCACCCCATCTTCACTATGGTCTCCTGCAAGTCTTTGCTGCTTCTCTTTCCCCTCCTCACAGCTCTCTTTCTGTCCATCCAGTTTCAATCTTTTGCTTCTTCCTCCCTGGGGAGACTCCTCAGTTCCATCTCCTTCTGACCATGTTCTTTTGGTTCCCTGTTCTATGTGGCACCCCAGTGCTTCTCTGAACACCTGGACCAGGGCAGCAGTGAGCTGGAGAAAGGGAGCAGGGGGTAAGGGTATCGGGGTGACAGACAGCAGGGAGCTTGGGGTGCTGGGCTGCAGAAGGGGGAGCAACCCCCAGTCCCGACCCCGGGAGGAACGGCGCTGGTACTGGAGGCTTCGGCAGTAATTGGCTGCCGCTTGGCAGCAGTTCTGTAGCCTCCCAGCTATCCGGCTGGTGACATTGGCTGCAACATTGTGACTCAAGTCAAAGGGGTCCTGGAGATTCATAGGGCCAAGGCGCAGACCCTCCCAGGAATTAGAGGACAGGACCGCTGCCACAGGCAGTGCCTGACCCTCCCGCAGGGACAGGAGTGAACCACGAAGATCCCAGCAGGAGACACAGGAGAAGAACTGGGCCAGCAAGGAACCTGGAGGAGGAAGATTAGGGAAAGGGGGTCACCTAGAGGCCAGAACTGAGACTGAGACAGGTCCTACATTAGAGCCATTTCCTTAGCAGAACTTTCTTTTTCCCTTCCAACAGGCTCTGTAGAGTCCCAAGAAGCCAGGCTTCACTGAACACTATAAACAAAAGAGGTCAAGTCAGGCACAGTAGCACACTCCTGTAATCCCAACTACTCAGGAGGCTGACACAGGAGGAGCCCTTGAGCCCAGGAGTTCAAAGCCAGCCTAAGCAACACACCAAGACCCATTTCAAATCAACAATAACAACAACAACCAAAAGGATTAAATAAGAGGTCAAGCCTTTCTCTCCATATCCCCAGCAACATCCTTCCCCAGATGTTATACTTTCTCCCTTGCTAGCAGTGTAACTTTGGGCAAACCACTTAATTTCTCTAACACATGGTTTCTTTTTTTTTTTTTTTTTTGAGACAGAGCCTCAAGCTGTCCCCCTGGGTAGAGTGCCGTGGCATCAAAGCTCACAGCAACCTCCAACTCCTGGGCTCAAGCGAGTCTCCTGCCTCAGCCTCCCAAGTAGCTGAGACCACAGGCACCCGCCACAACGCCTGGCTATTTTTTGTTTGCAGCCATCATTGTTGTTTGGTGGGCTGGGCTGGATTCGAACCCACCACCTTAGGTGTAGGTGGCTGGCGCCTTAGCCACTTGAGCCACAGGCGCCAAGCCACACATGTAATAATATTAGTTATGCCACAAGGTTGCAAACTATGAGAACTATGCCTGCCACACAGTGAGTGTGATGTCTGCTACCCACTGCTATGAATAACATCATTACCAGCCCTCTACTAGGCTCCCCAACTCACTGAGGGGCTCCACATTGGTGCTGGGCTCCAGTCCCGAGGCATTCCTGGGGAAACTACAGTCCCAGCCATCAACTTCCACCTGTTCCCCATCACCTATCAAAGTAAAAAAGGTGAGGGTCAGTCCGGAAGCAGGAAGATAGAGGGTATGAGGGATAGAAGTAGGGATGATAGCAGAGATCTCATCTCCAGGGTAGCTTAGTGTATGTCTTAAGTGTGATAAAAAAGAGGAGACGTAAAGCTAATGAGAGCATGGAAGCTGGGCTACATTACCTGCTTTCTGGGTGAGCTGGGACACAGTGGGCAACACAGGAGGGTTCCTGGTCTGAAGGAAATAGATCACGAGCAAGGTCAGGGCGTAGTTATTGAGAAGGGGGCCACTCCCTGGGTAAATAATTAATAATTCCAGTTAGAGCAGACGTGCTTCTGATCCCCTTATTGGCAGCTTTCTCAACCCCAGTGCCTGGACCTACCTCCCTTCTCACCCTGAATCCCTGCCTGTCTTGACACCTAAGCCCCACATCTGTCCTGATTCATTCTCACCTGACAGACCCCGACCCTGAGCCCAGCAGCGGAGGGTGTACACGAGGGGCCGGACTCGTTCATCCAGCTCAGAGCAGAGACTCAGGAAACGAGAATTATGCAGGGCCAGCCTAGGATAAAGGGGGAATAAGGGTGTTAGGGCTCAGATACCCTTGGAACCTACCACTCCCAGCTCTCACTCCAGACTTGTGTAATAGGAGCCAGCTGGAATAAGGCCAAAGCAGTGTTTTCCAAAGTACTGATGAACACTGGTTTTACGAGAGGAGGTACAAAAGAACATCAAATGAGTTTGGGAACCACTACATCCAATATGTCCATTTTTTTGTTTGTTTGGTTTTTGGGGTTTTTTTGCAGTTTTTGGCCGGGGCCATGTTTGAACCCATCACCTCCGGCATATGGGGCCAGCGCCCTACGCCTTTGAGCCACAGGCACCACCACAATATGTCCATTTTAAACATTCACAGAGCACCTTCTTATAAGATTGCTCATAGCCCTTAATATGCAAAGAAACAAAGACAGGAAGGGGGGAGAAAGGGAGAAAGGGAGAAAAGGAAAAACGGAGAGAAAGGGGAAGCAGAAGAGAGAGAGGGGAGAGAGAAACCTGGTTTGCATTTAACTTCATATACTTCCCAAATTTATTCAACCACAGAACTTTTTCTATATCCCTTAAAAATGGTATTCCAAGGTACATCCATTACAAAATTGAAATGGAAACCAAACAAAAAGAGATAAGTGACAGAAAGAGGAATGGAACCAAACAAGGACAAATTCAAGACTCAGCAGGTATAGGAACATCCCAAGCCAGGAACAACTCTCTCCTCAACCACCCCAGAACTCTCAGCTGGCCTTCCCCAACCACCGCCCCCAAACAAAGGTACCGGTTACTGAGGGAGACGTCACCATGGAGACCTGAAGGTCGATGACAGAACTTGACCACAGGGCACCGGGCAGAGGGTACAGTTTGGACTCGGTACACCCCAGGGACACAGCCCCGGAGAATGGATCCCACTAGCTCCAGCATTGCTCCCCCATCTGTCTTCTCCCCCTTTGGAGCCTCTGCTAGTTCCAATGCCTTTCCCAGGTCTCCTTCTCCTCTGTCCTCCTGGAGTGGTGAGGCTGGAGGCAGGGACAAGGGAGAGGCGACGGTCTCAGAGGCCAAAGCAGAATCCGGAGTCTGGGGTGCCAGAGAAGAGGAAGGGGTTTCAAAGTCCAGGGCTTCAGAGTCTTGAGGAGAAGCTGGAAGCTGTGAGTCTGGAGGAGAGGCTGGGGTACAGGCCAGGGCTTGAGGATCCAGTGGGGAAGCAAGGGCCGAGTCCAAGGATGGAGATTCTGGAGGCTTTGGGGTTGGCTGTAGATGGAAATAAAGTCAGTGAATGCCTCTCATGCTATTCCCAAACCAGGGAACATCCTTGTCCCTGGTTTATTAGGTACAAGCCCCCAATCTAAGGGGCTTTACATGTATTAATTCATTTAGTCCTCACAGCAACATTTTGTTAAAATTAAAATAAAGAGACGGTGTATGGTAGTTCACACTTGTAATGCTAGTACTCTGGGAGGCTGAGGTGGGTGGACTGCTTGAACTCAGGAGTTTGAGACCAGCCTGAGCAAGGGTAAGACCCTGTTTCTTAAAAAAAATTGCCAAGTGGCACCCGTAGCCCAGTGGGTAGAGCACCAGCCACATACACCAAGGCTGGCGGGTTCAAACATGGCTTGGGCCAGCTAAAATGGCAACTGCACCAAAAAATATAGCCGGGCATTGTGGCAGGCACCTGTAGTCCCAGTTATTTGAGAGATTGAGGCAAGAGGATCGCTTGAGCCAGAGTTTGAGGTTGCTGTGAGCTATGAAGTTATGGCATTCTAACCCAGAGCAACAAAGTGAGACTCTGTCTCAATTAATCAATAAATTAAATTAAAGGCCAGGTGCAGTGGCTCATGCCTATAATCCTAGAACTTTGGGAGGCCAAGGCAGGTGAATTGCTTGAGCTTAGGAATTCAAGATCAGCCTGAGCAAGAGCAAGAAGCCATCTTGAAGAAAAAAAAAAGAAAATAAGCTTTTAATTTCACAAATAAATGATCCATATTCTCCAAATATGTTATTGCCATGAAAGACAAAGAAAGGCAAAGAAACTATTCCAGATTAAAGAAGATTAAAGAGACAATGTAACTGTCCACTGTCAAGACAGCTGACAAAATTAGAGTATGGACTATAGATAAAAGTCTTGTGAAAGGCTTATGCCAGTAATCCCAGCACTTTAGAAGGCTGAGGCAGGATCACTTAAAGTCACATCCCAGTGGAGTGGGATGAGGGACAATTTGTTTTCCCTGACAACTCCTCCCCACCATGGGTTTCCAACTGTTAAAGTCAGGATTCTGAAACCAGTCTGGACAAAAGCAAGATCTTTTAAAAAAAATTAACCAAGTGGGGTGACTCATGCCTGTAATCCTTGTACTTTGGGAGCCCAAGGCAGAAGGATCACTTGAAGCCCGGAGGTTGAGACCAGCCTGGGCAATAGAGCAAGACTCTATTTCTATAATAGAGCAAAATAAGAAAAATTAACTGGGCATGGTGGATTGTGCCAATAGTCTCAGCTATTTGGGAGACTGAGGCAGGAAAATTACTTAAACCCAGGAGTTTGAGGCTGAAGTGAGCTATGATCATGCCCCTGCAGCCCAGCCAAGGCAACAGAACAAGATCCTGTCTCACAAAAAAATTAATAACCCTTTCCATGGCTCGTGCCTGTAATCCTAGCACTCTGGGAGGCCGAGGAGGGTGGAGTGCCAGAGCTCACAGGTTCGAGATCAGCCTGAGCCAGAGCAAGACCCCATCTCTAAAAAATAGCTGGGTGCTGTGGCAAGCACCTATAGTCCCAGCTACTTGGGAGGCTGAGGCAAGAGGATCACTTGAGTTCAAGAGTTTGAGGTTGCTGTGAGCTATGATGCCAGGGCACTTGCCTATGATGCCAGGCGCCCACCATAATGCCTGGCTAATTTTTGTTGCAGTTTGGCCAGGGCTGGGCCTGAACCCGTCACCCTCCATACATGGGGCCAGTGCCCCACTCCCAGATAGCTGGGACTATTGGCACAATCCACCATGCCCAGCTAATTTTTCTTATTTTGCTCTATTACAGAAATAGGGTTTTGCTCTATTGCCCAGGCTGGTCTCAACCTCCTGGCTTCAAGTGATCCTTCTGCCTTGGGCTCCCAAAGTGCAAGGATTACAGGCATGAGTTACTTAGGGTGACTGAGTGAGACTCTGTCTCAAAAGAAAAAAAGGGGGGGGTGGCACCTATGGCTCAGGGAATGGGGCACCGGCCCCATGTACGGAGGGTGGTGGGTTAGGGCCTGGCCCTGGCCAAACTGCAACAAAAAAAATAGCCGGGAGCTGTGGTGGGCACCTGTAGTCCCAGCTATCTGGGAGGCTGAGGCAAGAGAATCACCTAAGCCCAGGAG